TTCATCGAGTGCATATCACTGCTGGCACAGGCAAGTGGTTCTCAGAAACCACCAATTAAAATACTGTTTTTGTGCTTCTAATATGTGTATATCAAAAAGTATATAAAATATATTTCTAAAATCACTTGAAAAGCACTTTGGGTGATCTCCAAGTGGTTTTTATCATATACTTTTCCTGGTTCAATTGGTGCTTTCCAAAAACCACTTGGTCCACCAAAGGAACAAAGGGGAAGTGATTTTCAGAAAGCACAAATTGATCCAGGTAAAGTCTTGGTTAAAAAACCACTTGGAGAGCACCCAAAGTGCTTTTCAAGTGGTTTCAAGGATATATTTTATATTATTTTTGATGTAGAACATTGGTGGTCATTGGTGGCGAAATGAGATAAGATGCTCCGTTATCAGTGATTACTAATCAATGACGTAACTCAATGAACATTGGTGCTCATTGTCAATGATATTCTACAGTATCCCAACAGTATCCAGCAAACTCGGCCAATATCCAGCGATATCCAGTATTATCCACTGATCTCCAGCGGTATCCACCAATATTCATCAATATTCTTTCCAGTCCCGGGCATATAACTCAGATTGATGATGTGAGGTAACACTGCGACGACTGGGCTAGGGTACCGGGTACGCCTTATTGCCTCTCCTCTCTCAAATACCTCCTCATATTCTCTACCAACACCCCCACACTTGTCCCAGTACCAGATTTGGATAGGTCTTGACACGACGTGGCATTGCAACAATGGGTCCCACCTGTGCATTTTTGGAGTTCTTTTCCCGCAGATCCATCTCACAGTCTCATGCAGGGCACATGACATACAAACAATTTCAGAAACTTGGCATTGCTACCCAGTGCCGTCGCAGCAGAATCACCACGTTCGATATCCACCCTGGGTACCGCAACGACATCGCGGCGGTCAGAGATTTCGGCGATGACAATCTGATCTTGCTATCGTTGAGCTGGTTCTCGAGCTCGGAAAAGATATGTGAGTGAGGACGTGTCTGGGTGTACACGCTGGGATGAGGCAGAATATCCGAGTCTGCGCCCTCCTTGTCTTGTTGCCATTTTTATGAAATTGCTTTTGTGTCTTGCGCTAGATCTTTGTGCATGTGTCCGTGTTCGGACGCTTCGAGATCAACCTCATGTTTGCCTCGTTGTCATCTGGTTGCATTATAAGCTTGACTTGAGCTTGGCCGTTCCCTTCAGTTCGTTTCCTAGCGCCCGTCCGAGACAGCTTCTAGAGCTGCGTCAAAATGAGGTTCGTCCATTGGTATGAGATTTCCCCGCCCATTCTCATACTAGCTCTTGATAGCGAGAGTCCTCCCATTGAAACATCGCCAGACGATGGTCTTTGCGATAAGCCCAAACCTATTGACGTATGGTTCGAGGATGGCACTTTGCTCATCAAGGCAGAGGGCACGGAATTCAAGGTTTATCGCGGCATCCTGGCCTCAAAGTCCACCGTCTTTCGGGATATGTTTGAGCTCAATCCGCACACCACTCAAGAGGTACCAGTTCTGGAGCTGAGTGTCTCTGCGCTGGACCTTGCGTTCTTCTTGAAGGCTCTTCATGACATCGAGTTTGTACTACTAATGCCTTCAATGATGATAGATCTTCTCTGACATAGAGTCGTAGCTTTTTCCTGCCTCCTAGATTCCCCAACGCGGCGCCATTTGCCATTGTAGCGGGCATACTACGTCTCAGCGACATGTATGACGTCCCCAACCTTCGAAAGCGGGCCATTGAGCACCTATCTGTGGTGTATCCTACTAGCATCGCAGAGTGGGACTCCTCTCCTCAGTTTGAAAAGATGCACATCCTGGACCATTTCGGTGCGATCAAGCTCGCGAGGGATTTCAATGTCTCATGGATCCGACCCATGGCTATCTATCATGTCGCATCCCTGTCCTTCAACGCGACCTTGTATCGTTGTCTACGCGACGCAAACCTGGATCCCCAAGATGAATATTTTGTCATCAGAGGCATTCGAGCCCTGAAGATGCTGCAGGCCCTATGCAGCGGACCCGACATAGCAACAAACCCAAGGAAGTGCCAATCGATAGAAGTTTGTCGTTCTTTACTGAAGGCAAAGCGGGCTGCGGTCTTAACTGACGATGGGGCCGACCCACTGAAGGTCGCGGCATCATACTCTGACGGGTTCTGTGGTTATTGCATGACATTGGAAGCGCCCCTCGCAAGGGAGGGCGTGTGGAGTCAGATTCCTGCATACCTGGCTGACGCGCAGTGGGCTGAGTTGGCATTGGAGAAGCGACGTGCGACGTTCGTGTCTAAGTAGTCCTTTAAAGCTTTACTTATTACTTACCTTCTTCACTCCATTGCGACCATTTCTGACATACCTCACTGACTGTGTGTAATCATTGAGCTTACTTCGACAGCAGAAGGAAAGCATTATGGAAGAAAACTAATGTTAGGCATTGGTTAGGCATGATACCATCCCTACTTATTCCAAGAGTCAATGCCGGGGCTCACTGCTCGGTTCATTTCATACTAGATGGATATAGGCTCATTCATTTGAATCGACCACCCACATCTACCACCAACTGCATAGACTATAGCGTATTCAGAGGGTTCCTGCCATATGATGGCAGGATTCGCGATATCAAACGGTCGAAGAACATCTGGCGAAATACGGATGCTGGCCGCCTTGTTTTCATCTGGCTCAAGGGCCACGCACCCGAAGATAGTCGCAACAACGACTACTATAACTCTGACTCTTCAGGCGGTGATTCCGACGATTCCACTTCAGAATACTATGGCTACACTCCATACAATCGGCTTGTCTGCGAAGGTTATTGATAGTATGATATTATTCCTTCCGCTACAAATTAAATATGGCACCTCGATAGCCATTGCTCAGTAGATTCCAATCATCATGTAAATTCTGGTATGGGGATATAATCAGCCGTCAAGGCTTTGAGAGCCGTACCATATGAAATAGTGGGTGTTGTCCTTGAACCATTGCATCTCATCCTCCGTCATATCCGGCACGCCACGTCCTGTTATCTGGATCCCAGTACGACGAAGCCCGACTAGCATATCATCCTCATCCACTGGATGTTCCGCCAGAAACACCTTCCTCCGCTGCACCATCCTCTTTAACGCTGCAATGGAGAACCCACGGCAATCCACGAGGTCCAGACACGACATCTCCTGCGCGGTGAGCAGGGGCCTCGAGGTGCGCGGGTGCGGAGCGGAGCTGCCGAGCGCGTCGAGCAGCTCATCGTTAAACGCGATGCAGTGATCAAACTGGAGTTGCGGGCCCTTCTAGGACGAAAGGGCGCGAACAATCCCCTGTACATCGGACAGACCCTTGAAATATATAGAGAAGCAGGATCCAAGGGGAATTTTCGCCAATAAACCGCACTTGGTTATGTGGAGGGATGTGGGGCAGAGGTTATCAATGAACGTCTTCGTGGCTTTGGGGTCGACGTCAGTGAGGCGTAGTCGCTGCATCGAAGGGACGCTGTGTACGACTATATCCGAGGGTTGTACGATGCAGTCAAACGAGGTGTCTTCGAACTCCACTGTGATTATGTTGTTCAAGAGGGGAATGGCTTCGATGAGTATGGAATGCGGATCGAGTGCGGATGGCGATAGAGATGGAGAATAGTTGGCGACGCGGAGAGTAGAGGACCGGATGTAATAGCTGTTCCAGCGTGAGGCCCACCATTGTGCGTTTGCGACCAAATCAAGGAAGGTCCACCCGCTCAAGGTCAGCGTCTTAAGCGCAGGGAATGGAAACTCGCGTTGCTGTGTGATATGAGGAGCGAGTTCCAGGTCGCTCGGGAGGGATGCCTCCAAAGACAGTGTGGTGAGCATAGGCGCAGCGTGATAAAGATCGGCGGAAAGGGAGGGGAGCGAAGAGGGATACGCGACGCTGAAGACCAGGGATTTGCATCGATGGATGTGAGGTGCAACGAGGTCAATGATCTGCCTAAGAAGCACCTTCTCCTCCTGCGGCGCCCCGACGAACGAGGTGGAGTGGCGCCTCGCCACGGTGATCTCGAGTGGGCTTTTGTCATGGGAAAATTCGATGGTGGAGCGGACAGAATCTGCGATTGAGAAATCCTTGTCGTCATAGAAGATGACTATGCGCGTCCAGCAGTGAGGAAGGCCGCTTATCGCGTCTCTCCAGTGCGCCGAAACGCGCTCCAGAGCATACGGGAACAGGGAAGGACTACAAATGTCCACGCTCTCCCAAACTTCGGGCCCGAGGGCAGGAGAACGGACGATTGCGATTTCATCGTCGTCTCGGACAACAAATTTTGGAGTGGTAAATGGAGGAGGATTATGCGTGCGATTAAGCTGGTAAACGTAGTTGAGAATGTCGAGCAGAACTTCCAGAGGAAAATCCCTCGTCGGCATTTCCATGATGGTTTTGACTTTTCTGCAACTAAGTTGTGTCAGAAGAAGCAAGGTGAAAGCAGGAGCAGCTGGAAACTTGCCACCCGCCGTCACCCTCGCCTGGGGGTCCCACGTCCTGTACCGTCAAACCGATTCTTGGATGAGCACACGACGCGTCACGAAATCAGAAATGATGAGGTAGGATGAGGTGTCCGAGTCGCCGGTGTTTGGGTAATCCCCCTGCGCCAAACAAACACGATAAGATGCAATGACTTTGTGCAATGAAGTTCTTCCTCAACTAGGAGTTCCCTTGCAAGCACAGAAGTACTTTCTGCCCAAACGACAACGGGCGTGAATATAGATTGATGGCCAAGGAATCTCCAGGACAACACTGTTCATTGGACATGTATATTTGCTTTACGCCACATTTAGCCATATGTCATTGCGCCTGCGCCCGAAAACTGCAACTGATAGAGCACGACACAGCACAATCTCTCGGTCCACCTCGAGTTTTGTTACCGCATTTTAGCGTAAACTATCATGCAAGCTTAGTACATTTCTGGCGACTGACATATCTCAAGTCAATGCCCGAAAAATCATGGAACCACCAAGCAAAACGACAATCCATGGGCACATGGTGTAGTTGGTTATCACGCCCGCTTAGCACTATCGAAGCCGTTTGCGGGCGGTCCCCGGTTCAATTCCGGGTGTGTCCACTGTGCCTTATGCGGTTACTCATTTTAAATTTGGTTGATAGGCAAACGATCATGCTACATACATAACGAAGGGATGTTTTTGAACGACCGATGCGGTCCATGCTGCGGGAACCCTGCGACGCTGCACATCTTTGTTTTTCGCATTTCACATGTGCTCATTATAGATGGAACAATGCTGCATTACTATTAGGCAATTAGATATATCCAGAACCACACATGATACCAGCCGTACGGCCCACCAAAACTCGCATCAAGAAAATCCAATACCTCCTTCAGATGTTCTGAACTCAAGCCCACAACCTTCTCACAGTTCACAACCCCATCGTCCCCCGCAGTCCCTTCCACGCCTCCCCCATACCCACCACCACCAACACCGCCCAAACGTGCCCACAGAACCACAGCATCACACTGCCCCACGAGCTCCGCACGCACGCGACGTACGTGAGCCCATCAGCACTGCTAGGCTGAAGTGGTCTTCGTGCACTGAATGGAGGAGGACTCGACGCCCGGTGCGACGAGGAGGAGGTATCCGAAGTCGAACTCGAGAAGACACGCCGCGTGAAGGATGCTACAAGTTCCGCTTCTCCCTCCGTGAACGTAGAAGGAGAAGTGCGGATGCCTAGTGTCGAACACGCGCACGCGACTGCAAAAGCAACCACGCGCAGGATGTGCGGGTACGCCGGCATTGCGTGATACTGTCAAGTAAGCGGCGCCGCGGTATCGGTGAGTAGGGGGACCGAACACCAGAAAAAGAAAATAAGTAGCAAGATTGTAACTCACGAGACGTGCATTCGATTGCTCTGGATCGCGATACTCCTGCCTGGGAGACAACACATGCATTGGCCCCATACATCGAGTGTTGGACAAGACACGCGCTATACCTACAACACCAACTTACTGGAACTTAGACGCGTCAGCTAGACTCACCACCGTCTCCAACTCACCCCATCCGCCGTGGCCCCCAATCTACATACTCACAGTATCCTCCCCCCGTGCGTCTATCACCATCTTTAACCTCATCGCAACCCTGTTTGCAAATTCATCAAGCTCGGCATGATCTTCACCCAGCCTTTTTGTAGCACGATACCCAGGAGTTTTCGCTAAGCGTGCAGGACGGAAAGAAAGATCTAGCCAATTGGCGTCATGGACTTGAGTTAGATGGGGGTTACTTACATGTGAGGCATCGATGTCGTTTGATCAAGTTCTGGGATTGAATGTGGAAAGGGCAGTGACCCAGAATCTTATCGCATTTGTTTGTACCGGGGGAATCCTCCAGATATGGACGGGTCGGGATTCGGGATGCTCCTCCGTCCGCAAAAGCACTACTCGTGCACTACTACTTAGTCTCCCAGTCTCTTTGCTCGAGAACACGCTGCGTCTGGGTCTTCAAGCTTCTAGCTCCACCACCACACAGGACCTCATTCCACTTGACGATGGAGCACGACCCCACGCCCCTTATCCCACCTGCCGACGTTCTTAGCGGTGAGAGCGTCAGCGATGTGTTTTCGTACATTACATGCACAGGTAGGACTATGCGTAGCAGTGTGGTGGCAAACGCGTTTATCGAGGGCTCAAAACAGTATCCGACAACCTGTGGCGTCGGCTTACCATCATCCTAGTTTCCATGCAAAATCTGGCGATAGTCTTAGCCTGCTGCCTCAACAGTAGCTCGTAGGACAACTCAAAGGGTTCAGATTTACACAGGTCTCGTCGGACCAAGGCTCATGTAAGTGCAAACTGTTACTGACAGTGACCTAGGCCTCTGACCTTGTCTCGATGCCAGAATCTTTGAACGATTTGAAGACAATCGTTCAAATGTACAAAGACTCCCTCCGTTTTCTTCAGTCTGAGTAATCACATCAACTGACTTGCTCGCAGCGCACGTTCAACCTCCTGTGTTTAAATTTAGTGAACCACCACCTTCTGACGACTAGTCGTGCCTAGCACATGCCTGACTACCTTACGGTACCGGGTATCCTCCCGTTTCTCCGCCAGTCACAAATTACGGGGACCCGGATAAGGGAATCTGACAGAACTTGGCCTCTGGGTTGTTGGGCGCCTGAGAGCTTTGAAATAAGCTATGCAGAATGGCGCTTTGTGTGGTCTACATACTTGTACGTTTCATGTTTATTGAAAAGGTGCAGAAATAGCTACAGAAGCAATGGATACAGATTCCATCACGATGATTCTCGTTATAACTTATTGTTCATACCGGACGCACGCACTATCGAGACTTCACGAACCTACCACGTCTGAGACGACCAGATATCCTGCACTTGAACCAGCGCAACTGTCTCTCCACTCTCAGTCGTCACCAGGAATAATCGAGAGGAAATCGAGGC